GGGGGGTGGTGGGTGTTGGGGGGGGGTCAGAAATCCTTTGGCGGGTCGCAAGTGGATGTCGGGGGTGGTTGAAGAGAGACCGGGATGGTTCAGGGAGGCTCAGGAGAATTTGGGGAGGGGTCTGAAGGGGTTGAGGGAACCCGGGGGGTTCAGGGGGATGTAGAGGGATCTGGGGCCGGGGGTTTGAGCCCGGATTTGGGTGGGGGGTGCAGGTGGTGGAGCTGCGGTTCGGGAAGTTCGACGTGGAGCCCGACCCCCATTGTCGCTACGATTACGTGGCCGTGTTCGAGGGGGGGGCGCGGGACGACGCGCGGCGCCTCGGGCGGTTTTGCGGGGAGGAGACCCCCGGGTGAGCCCCCCCGAGTTCCGCAGCCCCCCCCCGACCCGGCGGAGCCCCCCAACCCCGTGTCAGCCCTCTCAAACTGTCCCGATCTCTCCTCAATCCACCCGATTCCTCTTAAATCCACCCTGAGCACCCTCAAACCACTCAACCCCCTCTGACAGCAACCTGTTCCCCCTGATCCCCCCCACCCCGAACCCACCTGGGACTCCCCCGAACCCCTCCCGATCCCTCCGAATTCCTCCCGTTCCCTCCAAACCATCCCGGCCGCTCCGAATCTCCCCTGCGCACTCCTGCGAGCCTCATGCTGACCCCTCCAAACCCCTCCCAATCCCCCGCGGACGGCGCTCCGGACCCCCCGGGACCCTCCGTGTCCCCCCGAAAGCCTCCCCTGACACCCGTGTCCCCCCAGCCCCATCCTCTCCAGCTCCCCGGAGCTGCTGGTCCAGTTCGTGTCGGATTTGAGCGTCACCGCCGACGGCTTTTCGGCCACCTACACCCTGCGGGACCGGGGCAGCGCCCCCGAGCCGCCCCCCACAAAGCCCCGGGGGGGCGGGAAGGGGAAGCCGCCCCCCAGCCCCAAAGCGGGGCCCCCCACGGCCGCCCCCGCTTTGGCGACCCCCTGCCCGCAGCGCTGCCGCCGCGCCGGGACCCTCCAGAGCAATTTCTGCAGCAGCGACTTCGGTGAGAACCCCCCCAAAAAATGAGGGGCGAGACTCCGACATGGGGGACGGGCTGTGGCAAATTCCCCAAAACCAGGAGGGGGGATGAGGACCCCCTCCATCATGAGGGAGAAAAGGGCTGGGAGTGCCCGAAACGGGGCTGGGGAGGGGGAGGTTGGGCTCCCCAAAGCCCCAGTCACGGGGTGCCCGAGGTTCTGGGGAGCCTGACCTCCCCATTCCTGTGCCTCCAGTGCTGACGGGGACGGTGAAATCGGTGTCGCGGGGGCCGCCCCAGGAGCCGGGCTGGGCCGTGGTGTCTGTTCTCAGCCTCTACAAGTCGGGGGCCCTGGAGGTCCCCCAGCCCGCCAAGGGGGCCACGCTGCGGCTGCAGCTGCCCTGTCGCCTCTGCCCCGCGCTCAAGAAAGGTGGGTGTGCCCGGCAAGGGGGCTGGAGGGATCTCTGTGCCCCCCCAGGTCCTGACACCCCCTCCCCAAATCTCCTCCAGGCTCCAGCTACATCCTGATGGGGCGGCTGGGCGGGGAGGGGGGAGCCCTGCTGCCCCCCGACGCCTTCGTCGTGCCCTACCGCCCACAGCAGCAGCAGATTTTGGGGAACCTCAGCAAGAGGCCGTGTCGGGGGACCCCCTGAGACCCCCCCAGAGCTCCCCCGGACCCCCCCGCGCTGGGGGGACGCCCCCCGCACATAGGCCAATAAAGGGTGCAAAGATGGAGCGTATGAGTGAAGGTGCTGGGGGGACCGCACTCAAGGGGGGGGCACAGATTGGGCCCTCCAAAATGGGACCCCCCGGGACCTCCCCGTTAAATCGTACGGCTCCTTTAAGAGGGGCGGACGGCGGGGTAGAAGGGGAGGGGCCAGAACCGCGGCGTGGCCCCTTGGGGGCGTGGCTCCCAGCAGGGCGGGGCGCGTTGCTCACCTCAGCCCCGCCCCTGGCTCCCTCGCTCCTTCCCGCCTTGTCAATCATCGCTGTAAGCCCCGGAAGGTGGAGCCGCCATTGCCCGTTCGCTCGCAGGGCGCTTATACCATTACCTTCGTGTCAAACACGATTGCTTGGCTACACGTCAATCTCGGGCGCTGCTCCCGCCTCCTCGATTTCGACTGGCTGACGCCACCAAAATTTTCGTAGCCGTCACCAGACAACGAGCTTGTCCTTCGCGCTCTCGATTGGTGGAGATTTTGTTTTAGCTGAGATCGGCCGCAGTTAGGCAGAACATGCCCTCAATCTCTTGATAACGATGGGTCAAATTGCCCATCAATCAAAGAGCAAACTTCCGCACTTCTCCTGGCGCTGTCCCCACCCGTCCCGTCCGATTCGCCTCCTCCCCGCGCGCCCTCGTTCTGATTGGCTGCCGCTCTGGCCCTGCCCCTGTGGCGGGGTCCGGAAGCGTCTGGGGCTCAGTCGCGCAGCGGCGGCCGCGGTGAGCGGAGCTCTAGGGCCGCCATGGCCGCGGGGGCGGTGGGGGCTGTCACGGCTGAGCTGCCGCCGCCGCTGGGCCGCCTTCCCGGAGGAGCCGGCACTGAGCGCGCCCTGGAAGAAGCAGAGGCCTCCGGCACCCTCAGTCTGGCCGGCCGGCGGCTTCGCGCCTTCCCGGCGGCGCGGCGCTGGGACCTCAGCGACACCACACAGGCCGGTGAGGCCGCGGCCCCGGGGCAGGACCCCCGACCCTTCCCCAGAGCCCGGGGTCACTCGGGGTGTTTCCCCCCACCCAAGGGAAGCTGGGGGTGCCCCGCCTCCCTCGGCGCCTCCCGGAGCCTGAGGCTCGCGGGAGGTGCCGGAGGCGGGTGAGGACGCGCCGGGACGGGACGAGCCGGAGCGCCTGGTCCGGGCGGTCCGGTGGCTTCAGGTTCTCCGTCGTCCGTCTCCAGAGCTGGGCGGCTCTGGGTCCACGGACGGGGCGGTTGGGGTCCATCAGCACCCCTGTCCCCCGGGATCTGCGTCCCCTGTCCTTATCCCTGGCGGTCCTTTGTCCCCAATAGTCCACTTCCCTGAGGGTCCCTTGTCGCTGTCATTCCCTGTCCCTGTGCATCTCTTGACCCTATCAGTCCCCGCGCTGAGGATGCCCTCTCGCTATGGGTCCCCGTCCCTGTCCCGCATGTTCCCCCGTGTCCCCCTCGTCCCTCCAGACCTGTCCCGGAACCGTTTCGGGGAGGTGCCAGAGGCCGCCTGCCGCCTGTTCTCGCTGGAGGGGCTCAGCCTGTACCACAACTGCCTGCGCAGCGTCCCCCCGGCCATCGCCAACCTGCAGGCCCTGGCGCACCTGGACCTCAGGTACGGTCCAGCCCCGAGAGAGTGATTTGGAGGGGTCAAGCAGCTCCCCGTGACCCCGCTGTGTCCCCCGCAGCCGCAACCAGCTGAGTTCTCTGCCCGCCTGCCTCTGCCTCCTACCCCTGCGCATCCTCAACGCCAGCAACAACCGCCTGGCCCAGCTGCCCCCGAACCTCGGCGCCCTGCGCACGCTGCGGCAGCTGGTGAGCGCCGGGGTCGAGCCCCGCGGGTTTGCGCCTGGACCCCGCTGAGCCCCGTTTCGCCCCGCAGGACGTCGGCTGTAACCGGCTGCGGGCGCTGCCGCCGGGGCTGGGGCAGCTGCGGGCGCTGCGGGACCTCAACGTGCGGCGGAACCAGCTGGCAGCGCTGCCCGAGGGTGGGTGACGGACTTGGGGCGGGGGAAAGGAGGGGGAAGGGGGTCCCGTCCATCCCGTGTGTCCATGTGCCCCTGACAGAGCTCTCGGAATTGCCCCTGGTCCGGCTGGATTTCTCCTGCAATCGGGTAGTCGCAATTCCGCGCTGTTTCCGGCGGCTCCGGCACCTCCAAATCCTACTGGCAGACAACAATCCCCTCCAGTTCCCCCCCGCCCAGGTGAGGGAAGGCCCGGGAGATTCCCCCGACCCCAAAAAAAAGCTGTACCTGACCCCTCTGTGCCCCCCAGATCTGCCTGAAGGGCAAAGTCCACGTCTTCAAGTACCTGGAAGCTGAGGCTGCCCCTCATCCTCCCCCAGCATGGTAAAGGGGGGGCTCTAAGAGGGGGACCCCACTGGCCCCTGCTGGGGGGTGTTTGGGGTCTCTCACCGCTGTTTGCCCCCCACAGCCCCCCGGACGAGCTGTGTCCCCTCCGGCAGCGGGGGGGGCTGGACTCCGGCTTCCACAGCGTTGACAGTGGCAGCAAGCGCTGGTCAGGGAATGAGGTGGGATTTGGGGGCATTTTGGAAGGCACAGGGGAAGTTTGCGGTGTCCCCTAACCTACTCCCCCTTTATGCACCCCCTTTGGCACTGTTTCAGTCCATGGACGAGTCCTTGGAGCTATCCCGGCAGCATAGGGAGACACGCAGCGGGGCAGGTGAGGGGAGTGGGACCCCCAAAACCCCTGGGACCTCCTGTCACCTTCTGGGACGCCCTGTCAGCCCCCTTGTCCCCACAGCTGGTGACAGTGACCCGGAGCAGCTGGAGGAGGAGCCCTCACCTGAGGTGATGTCACCCCCTAACCCTTTCTGATCCTCCCTAGTCAGGTTTTGGGGTTCCCCCCCAATCCTGGGCACCCCTTCATCCCCCAGGAGCAGCAGAGCCAGACCCCAAGAGGTGGCACCCCTGAGGGTATCAGGTGAGGGGCCTGGGGAGATCTGAGGGCTCAGGAAGGAGTCTGGGGGGTTCTGAGCCCCCTCTCCCTGCAGGGTGGTCCCCACTTCCCAGCGACGCGCCAGGAATCTGGAGGTGTGGATGGAGAGAGAGAGGGAGAGGAGTCGGGACAGGTACTGGGGGATTGGGAACTGGGGCTGGGGTGATGGATTCGGGGGTGGGACAGGGGACGAGGGCTGTGCACTGGCTGCTCTCACCTCCCACAGGACCATCCCGCAGAGACCCCCCCAGATGCGGCCGCCGACGCTGGTGAGGACCTGGGTGACCTCATTAAGCTCAGTCCTAATTAACATGGGTCTTAATTACCCCTTCTCCCAGGCTCAGCTCAAAGTAACAGAAGTCTTAATTACCCCTGCCTCCCCCAGGAACCTGATGGAGCCCCTGGTGCTCCCTCCAGTCGCCCAAAACGCAGCACCTACCTCAGCCCCTGCTGCTCTTCTTCCCGAAGCGCCACCAAACCAGGTAGGACATCTCCCTCCCTCTCTGTCCCTGCCCCAGTGCCCCCCATGGCACCCCTCCTGGTGCCCCCCAGTCCCTGACCCCCCTGTATCTCCCCACAGCCGCCCTGGAGGCCGACCAGCGGGAGCTGATTGCTGAGGTGCGCCAGGTAACGCCCCCCCTCCCCTCCCTGTTTGTCTGGGAGGGGCTGGGGTCTGTTCCCCCCTCACACGCTCTTGGGGGGTCCCTGCTGTGCCCCCCACCCTCACAGAGCCTCGAGGCGCTACTGCAGCTGCAGCTCCCAGACGAGTTGGGGGATTCGGAGCTGTTGGGCCGTGTGGCCGCCCGGCTGCGCCCCTGGGCTGTGAGTGGGACCCCCAAAACACTCCCTAAGCCCTAATCCCCCATATCTACCCAAAACACCTCGCTGAAACCTCCCCACACCCACCAGAGCCCCAAAACATCCCAACTCCATGAATACCTGAAATAGCCCCCTGACGTTCCCAAATTCTCCCACCACCACCCATTCTACACAAAATCCCCCCCAGAACTCCTCCCAGACCCCTCTACCCTCCCCAGGCCCCCCTGAAACCCCAAAATGCTTTTTAAAGCCCCCAAATCCCCCTGAACCTCTCCCCTGACCTCACCCATTACCCCAAAACACTTCTTTAACGCCCCTGACACCTGCGTAACTCCAATAAATACCCCTCAAACCCTCCCTGAGGTCCCTTTCTCCCCGCCAGAGCCCCTCCAGAGCCCGACGGATGCCGCAGCCGCTCCCCTGCCACCACTCAGGGGGGGCCGAGGTACCATTTTGGGGGGGGGGGGGGGGGGGGGGGGGGGGGG